CTCCCTCCGCTTCGTGGGGACGGCGGCCCCTAGGCGATGGCGACGCCCGAGGGGTCTCAGCGGCCGCGGGTCTGGCCGGGCGGCTCAGTGGGTTAGAGCACCGTCCGGGTGGGCCTGGGTTGTGGGGCCGACCCCGGGTCTGGGCACGCGCGTGAGTAAGTGGGACAGCAAACCCACGTTTCTCTCTTTCTCCCTTCCTGTCTCTGAAATCAATAAACGCATCCTCTGGTGAGGGTTAAAAATAAAAAATTTTAAAAGAAGTTAGTTGGCGGGGTGCACTGCAGAGACCCTTGTCTGGACTGACCTCTGAGCTGACCCCTGAGCAGGAACCGAAGGCCACGTGTCCGCAGAGGGCCGGCGACATCTCAGTGCCCCGGCGGGTTCCTGGCCGTTTGTACCCCGACCGCAGTCCTCCTAGCCTGGGGCCCGGCCGCCCTCTGCCCAGCCCTCACAGGAACCCCCAAGACCTCAGAGGGAGGCCAGTGGGGGCCACACTCTCTCCGGACTGGAGACGCAGGAGCAGACTCCAGGGAAGGGGACCGTCCGCCAGGGTCACACGACCGGGAGACCTCGGAGCCCGGCAGGGCCTTCGCGCACGTGGCTTCTCCACCGGGCCCGCCGCCCTCCCGTCTGAGCCCTCGTCACCTTGCAGGGACCCCCACCCCCGTCCCCCAGGAAACCCGTGCTCTCTGGGAGTCTCCTCCGACGGATATTTAAGACTCATTTTTGATGATCAGATTGAAGGCAGTTTCCTCTGCAGACAACGGTCTGTGGGCCTCCAACCCCTGGCCTGGTGCCTGACACACAGTAGGTCCTCTGTGACCTCCCCTTCAACAAGCAGGTGGAGTAACCTCTGACCCGAGACCAGTTATTTCCCGCCGCCCCACCCCCAACACCCGAGAACGGCACGGAAATCGTAACCACTCCGCTTTTCACGGAAACCCAAAAGTCGGAGACCTTAGTCCAGGATCTGCTTGTCTCCGGGGAACCCCGACCCCGGGGGCCCCGGGCAGTCTCCCCAACACTGGGCTTTTTAGAGGGTGGCATCATGGCGGGGGAGACCAGTCTCAGAGGTACCGTAACTGGGGACCAAGCCTCGCCCTTGGCAGAGAGCTGCACAAACCTTCACGGACGTCTCCTGCTCCACTGCGTCTAATCCCGTGATTGCACGGGTGCGACCAGCGAACACGGAACAGTGAGACGGTCCCCGTCGGGCTGGCAGTGAGCAGTTTCCGCAGGGCCCACCTTGGGGTCGGCCCCCCGATTTCACAGTTCCTCCTGGTGCACTGACGGGGACCCTGATCACGGCTGGGTCCGAGCCCACGTGTTCGGACGGACATGCACGCGGGTGCTTCTTCCCAAGACCCCTCCCAGCTCCGTTCTGACGCTACAACGGCTTTCTGGGAGACAGTTCACGCACCACAAAACCCACCCTTTGGGTGTGGGCTTCGGTGGGTTTTAGTATTTGGGGAGTTGGGCCACAACATTGCTGCTTAATTTTAGGCATTGCTGCTTAATTTTAGGCTCTTTCCACCCTTCCAGAAAGAGGACCGTCCGCATGGCCGTACTGCCCGCCCTCCCCACCCCCGCCCGTCCCCCGAGCAGCTGCCCGGTCTCCGTGGGTTGGCGTGTTCTGGACTTGCTTCCCACGTGCCACCACGCACAGGCTGGTCTTCGGTCCCGGGCTTCTGTCACTCGATTCTGTCTTCGCAAGGCTCATGTAGGCCACAGTGGGCTCCAGAGCCTGGTTCCTTTTCACGGCCGAGTAGTGGTCCATTCCACAGATACACCCCATTCCCTGCCCATTCATTACAGCTTTGTAAAGCACACATGAGCCAGCACGTAAAGACCAGGAGACCGCCCACACACCCAGGCGTCCGGCGTCCCTCGAGGGCCCAGAAGCCCCGGGCCATGTCCCCTGTGGTGATGCTGGTGGCTGTTAAGGTTCCAGAGACCCCGAGACCCCCACACCTGCCCTCTGCCCTCCCCCATCCCTGGACGCACCTGGGTCTGGGGACTGCACATCGTGATGTTGTGACCCCTCAGTCAACCCCTCTCCCTGTTGGAGTCGCTCCCCCGCCTGCACGAGAAGCCCGGAGACTCACCTTTGCTGTTGGGGCCAGCAGTTGGGCTGTGGAGGGTCTCACTGCCGCCTGCCTCTCCGGCGACCCCCACAGTCTGAAAAAAACGCCGTGACTCGCCAGTCCCTGTACCCGGGGTTCCTATACGCTGCGGGCTGTGGTGTGCACAAATCCGCCGGGATCGGAAGCCGGACCCGGGACCACAGAACCGAATGGAGACGCAGCTCTGCCTGCCCGCCCCCCAGCCCCCGTGCAGGGCGCACACTCCCAGCCGCACCCATGGCGTCTGGGCTCCGCTCCACCAGGCGCTGACACCGCCCTGTGGTGGTCTTCGTCCTCCGCCTTTGCTTCCAGGGGAAGAACCCAGATTATCCTCCGAAACTACGGAGGTAAAAGACTTCCTCGCATTTAATGATTTCAAAAAAGAAAAAAAAACTTTCTGCTAGTAAAGGGGAATAATGGATCCCAGTGCTGTAAGTGTCTCCTACAATTATTGTGACGTAAAAGGCATTTTTATTTCCAAAGGTTTCCCCTTACTGAAGCCGGTGTCTGCAAGCCTTCCCAGACATATAGCTCACACACGCGTGGGGGCGTGCACACGCACAGGCACGCTCGTGCACACATGCACACGCACGCTGCTCGCGCTGCCCAGAGAGCCGTCCAGCCTCAGCCCCGCCGTGGGGACCGCCGCCCAGAGCACTGCGGGGCCGGGCCCGGGCGGCCGGCCTCAGGCTGAGCGGGGACAGCGGGATCTCCACTTCCTCAGACACGTAAGTGAAAGGAAAAGATGTCTGTTTTTTCCAGAGGTAGAGGTTTTATTGCATAAAACACTGGATAAAACTGGACTGCTTCAAAGACATTTTATTCTAACAGCAGAAGGAAAACAGTCATTGCTGAAAAAACAACTTTTAATACTTTCTATACCAGAATAAAGTTCTGTCAACTGATGTCTTAGAATAATAAATAATGACCAAGAATAAACTTTAAATACAAAGTTGTCTACTTGTTACAAGCATAGCAACGAAACCCTCTACTCTACTGACCTCAGACCTCCTCCGAGGCGGGCTCTGCTCCGTGGAGGGAGGCGGACGGTACTGACCAGCATCACAGACCACAGCAGTCACGGGGGGACTGGACATGTGCAGATATGAGAGCCCGGCGACGCCCGGAGCGGACCCCGCGTCGCCGCGGCCGTCGCTCGGCGTCGGAGGGGGCGGGGGCGGCAGCACGGGACACAATGGAACCAACACACACGCCACGGGAGGGGCCGCCCGCGGGCGGGCGGGCGGCGTTATTGCCTGGCGCATCGGCGATGCTCAGAAGACACGAGAGAATACTGAGAGTTCCCAAAGTGCTAGAAATGGAATGTGGCTCTTGTTTTTTTTTTTTCCTCTTTTTTTTTTCTTTTTACTTTTTTATCCTGTTTTTTTTTTAATAGATATATTTATTTTCTCTGCTAAGATACCAAAGGCGGGGCAAACACACAGAAAAGCAAGCCACCGGCACAGCCACCAGACACAGCAGTGCAGTGAGAATCCTACAGCTTTACTACAGTTGGAGAGTTTCAGTCACGTCCCGTCCCTTCTCTGGGGCCGGAGGAACAGTTGCATTAAGTGTATCGACTCGATTTAAGTAAGGCAGTGAGAACTAGTCTAGAAAAACAAGAAAGCAGCTTGCCGCAGGCCCGGCGGGCCGCGGGGCCCGGCGGCCTCTCGCGTGGGGAGCCCGAGCTGCGGGCGCCGGCCCCGCGGCCTCTGCAAACGGCACACCTTCCGAGCCCGGGACTCCTTCCCGTCCCGGGAGAGCGAAGCGTCGTATTTACATCGATTGCAGTTTAGCGTTTTCGTAAACTGCGGGAGGCAGAGCTGAAGTTTTTAAGGCCCTGGGGTTTCATCCTGTGCTCCCAGCCTGCAAGGAAATGTGGACTTTTTTTTTTTTTTAAGTCTGAATGATCTTGTTTTAGAAGTTGTAACTTCATTGCTTCTCTAACTTCCCGGACAACAGCACCAGTTCGGGGTCACTCCAAGGAAGACTGTTAGGAGGTGGGACCTTGCCTCCATTCCAGAGGATTCAAGAATAAACCCTTAACTAGTGTCCTTAGACCGTTTTTTTTTTTTTTTTTATGAGTTAAGTGTTCCGTGATTGGCCCTCGACATCTCCCTCTGGGTGGTGAAGAACTCGATAAATTTGGATTATCCAATCAGTAGAAAATCTACAATCTACAAAAATAGAGAACACATTTGTTTTACAAAAACAGACATTTCAACTCAAACAGTTTTCTCCATTAGCGATAGAGAGCAGGATGTTTAGACTCGTGTTTTAACGCAGGCTGTGCCGCAAGGAGCTCTCCAGAGAAGGGGTCTGATTCGTGTCTGCGACACTGATTAGAACGGGCACGGGGGGGGGGGGGGGAACCGGCGACCAGGCCGGAGCCGCCGCCGGTCAGGTCAGAGCTTAAAAATCGTGATAAAAAACGTCTTCCTATGATCGTCACCTCTCCCTAGCACCTTCTACGGATGGGGTCGGCTAGTGTTCCTAAACAATGTTCTTTTAAATGTTGCCCTAAATTTTCTGATTAGCCACCTTCTTTTTTATCCAAAAATTAAAATTAAAAAAAAAAAACAGAGAGAGAGAGAGAGAGAGAGAGAGAGACAAGCCCGGGGGAGAAAAAAGCACTTCCCTCCACGCTGCAGTGCTGCAATCTGACCTAAGAAGGAGCTACTCCTCCGACCAGCAATGGACACCGTCCGCAGACACTGCCCCGCCGGCCGCGCGCTGCCAGGCCGCCGGCGCGCGGGGAGGCCGGCTCGGGTTTCCGCGGGAGAGCGCGGCCGCCACGCCCGCCTATTGATTTCCGGGCGGCGGCGCCCCAGCCTGGCTGGCACCGGGCTGCCTCCCCGTGGGTCTCATTAGGGTGGGGGGGGGGGTGACCGCGGCGGGCGTCGGATTGCAGGTGTTTGGACGGGGACACGCAGCACCGCCGTCCTCAAGGCAACACTGAGCGTCCGGGTGGCACCGTTTCCAGCTACGAGCGCGGTTTCGGACAAAGACGACGTGGCGGGGGCGCGGGGGCTCCTCGGCAGCCACCCCCCACCCTCCGCCACCTGCCTTGTTTGGAAGTTCTTGTTGCCGGGTAACAGTTTAGCAGCCATTTTCAAGGGCTGGGGACCTTTTTTTTTTTTTAATATATATATAGATATCTCTTTAAATTTCTTAAATGTCCTATATACTAGCGGGGGGAGGGTGCACGTGATTCCCCCCCCCAATGCGGTTAGCACACTCTTTTACCAGACGTGACCCTAGACCTGTGCAAGGTGACGGCCCCGTCCAGGCGGGGGCGGGGGAGGGGGGCTCAGTTGCGCTCCTCCTGGGCCTGGCCGCCCTCCTCCGGGAGCTCGGAGCCCGCCGCCTTGACCGCCGACAGCTCCTCGAAGCTCCCGGCCGCCTCCGCGTCGACCCTGGAGCGCTTGAAGCGGCGGTCGGGGTACTGGCTGTTGTCGAAAGGCATGCGATGCACGCAGAGCACGTGGGTCTTCAGGTTCCCCTTCTGGGAGGCACTGTAGGGGCAGTAGCGGCACTGGAACGGCCGGGGACCTGCGGGCAGAGAGAGGCGGTCAGGTCTGCGGCCCCGCCCCTGCGGCCCCTGCGGCCCCGACCCCCCCACCCCCCCCACCCCCCCCCCACCCCCCCACCGCTACCCGCGGTAGAGACTTCGCAGAAATCGGACACCGAAGGAGGGCGGCGCAGCCAGTAGCTCCATTTGGGCCAAGAGGTTACTGAGGTCCCAGAGAATCACACCTGGGACAGGGACGTCACAGGTCGTCTGCCCCAGCCAGAGGTTTTAACCGGACTCCAGGTGGCAGGCAGGAAAGTTCCCGACACCGGAGCCCTTGTTAACGGGAAGTTAGACAGTGACCAGTTCGGACTTCGCGGGCCAGCCGGCAGCCTCAGGTGCGGGGTGCGGGCCTGTGCCGATGCGACCAGAGGGGAGACGCATTTCCAGCTTCGTGCGGCAGAAATGCAGCCATTTACCGTGGACACTGAAACCGGAATCTCATGTTTTCCCTCCGACTCTTTAGAAATGTAAAAACACCACCCCTCGCTCTCGGGCGGCACGAAGACAGACGGACCGTGGGCAGACGGGACGCCCGGACCGCCCTCGGTGGCCCCAGCTGTGCACCGAGATGCCAGGACGCCCTCCGTCTGGGGCCCCAAGTCCATGTCCAGGGAGGCGGCCCCCGTCCCGTCTGCCCGTGAACAGGAGTGACGAGCAGACCGGACGTGGCCGGGGCAGGGATGGCGCCCCGGCCTGGGGCACGGCTGGAGTGCCGAGCCGGAGGCATCTGTGGGGCCCGGGGGTGCACCGGGGCCACCGGCCACCTAAAGAAGCTGGAGCGTAAAGGGTGGCCCTCGCCATCAGACTTTTCTAGAAAGGCTCAGAATCCGAGCCCGAGGCGGATTCCTGTGTCCAAGCCTCCCAGCTCACAGCGCTCAGCAGACACACACCCACCCCCACCGTCTGAGGGGGCCAGGGGCGTCCGGCTGGGGGAGCCAGGATGGGACCCCGTGAGCCCGAGGCCGGGAGCTGGGGACGTGTCACCCCTGGCAGCGCCGGAGCACGGTCCCCCCAGCACCCACGAGCGTCAGGCCCAGGCCTGGGGCTCATCTGCTCAGAAAACCAAACAAGGGAACCCCTGGGCCTGGCCATCCACCCCCGAAAACGTCCGAACGGCAGACCAGGCCTCCTTCCACAGCCTCGCTCCCCGGCGACTGCAGGCCAGGCCCACTCACTTCCCCGCAGGGCTGGTGGCAGCTCCTCTGTCGTGGGCATCGGGAGCGGCTCCGTCCCCGGTCCCTCCAGGACAACCGGTCTCCAGGACGCTCAGCAGGACAAGCGGAACCCAGGAGGAGCCCCCTTGCTGCTGGTCTCCGCACAACTGCCCGCAGCAAGAAGGGCCTGGGCGGCCAGCTGGAGGCCCCGCCGGGAACTGTCGTGGGAGGCGGGCCCGTCGCTGTCCTTCCCCTCCTGGCCCCGTCCTCAGGGCTCGGCCACCTCCCCCCAGGGGACAGGGAGGGCCCAGCGTTGGGGGGAGGGGCACGGAGACTCGCACTTCGAAAGTGCATTGAGGGTTTTTACCAGGAAGGTAGATGGCCCTGGTCTCGTCACCTGGGAGACGGGGAGAGCCGGGTGACAGAGTGGGGACAGAGAGAGAAGCCATCTCCATGTGACTTCTGTGCGGCGCCCTTTGGAAGCCGCCCTCTGCGTGCTGTGTCCCCACGGGACCCCTGGAGGCTGCGTCTGTCTCGGCCAACCGAATGGGAGCCTCGAATGTCGCCTCCACCCCCAGTGAAAGCCTTTCCGGGTCCACCCGAGCGGCATAAAAGCCTTCAGCACATTTTTCCCGTGGACCGATTTTAAACGTGGACCCGGACTCTGGCCTGTGGTTCCGTCGGTGTCCCGGCGGAGTGGACGATGCCCGTGGTCCTGGCACCTTCGGGGAGTTCCACGGTCCCCGCACCAGTGTCGGGCGAGCTTCCGTCTCGCCCAGGGGAGCCGCCTGTGCACGGGCGTGTGGTGCGTGCCGAGGGCGGCCCCGTGGCGCTGGGGGCCGAGGGCCCGCGTTCCACAGCCCTCCCTGCTCCCTCTGGGAGTCCGTCCCCACACGGCAGCTCTGCGGCCGTTCTGTCACGGCGCGAGGCGGGCCTGTGGCGGAGACGAGGAGGCCAAGACACCGCAGACCCGAGCGGCTGGACTTTGAAACCTGTTCCCAGAGGCTGCAGAGCACCCAGGCCCTGAACCCTCCCAGTCCTTCCGAGAACCACAGTTACAAAGTGTTTCATAGGATACACACACGCACACGCCCATGCCCACAGGCACACACAAACACACATATGCACACACAGCACAAACATGCCTGTGTGCACAGAAACACGTGTGTGCATGTGTGTGGTGTGTATACAAACACAGCTGTGTGGTGCACACATGCACGTACATGTACACACACAAACACAAGCATATGTGAGCGTGCACACATGTACACACACACACACACACACACACCCTCCTGAGTGGTGTTCTAAAAGGCTGCCATGGCCCAGGTGTGGAAGGACACCCGTGGGAGGAGTGGGGGTCCCCTGATGAAGGCGGGTGGGGCGCTCTGACGGGTCTGGAGGAGCCGGTCTGCCCGTGGACAGGTTTCTCCACGCAGGAGGGGGCAGGGGCCAGGCCCACAGGGCCCTGGGGCGGTCGGACCTCCCTCCCTGGAGAAGGGAGGCGAGCAGGCCGCCCACCTGCAGCCGCGCAGCTGCCCAGCGCGCCCGGTCCCCGGGAGCAGCCGGGGCCCCGGGCTCGACCCTGCGGCCAGGTGCCCTGCACCCCCCGCCCTCCCTCGGAAGCCGTCAACACCCCTGCTCGCGGCCACGTGAGAAGTAAGTACATCGTACGTTAATTTGTATTGTCACTGCGCCGCACCGCCGTGGTAAAGAGCACATCCATTTTTAATCCGCGATGAATAATATATAAATATGTATACAGTGCTCGGGGTCAAGAGGAGCGGGGAGAGAGCCAGCCGCGCACTGTCTCTGGCGGGGCGGGGGGCGAGGGGTCTTCTTCCTCGCTGTGATGGAAGTATCAGCTCTGCGCCGTTACCGGGGGGGTTTGGTGGGGGGAGCAAAAACTGCCTGCCCTTCGGGGGCCATCCATTCATCACAGCTGCCCGTGAGTGGGTGGGTGCCCGCCCACAGGGCTCCCGGGCTCCCCAAACTGCTGGCTGAGAGAGGAGCAGGGGCCGGGGCCTCGAGGGGTGGGGACCGACCCCGGGGTCCGTGGTTCCGTCCTGGGGCACCGAGAAAACCTTCTGACCCCGGCTCCCGGGCAGGTCTGCAGGGACGGCCGGCGGCGCTCCTCACGCCGGGCCGGGGCGGCATGGTGGGAGGGGCTCCCACTTCACAGACACAAGAACCAGCCCTGGGGGACGGACAAGGCAGGGTCCGGGGCCCCAGCTGCCGGGGTGCTGGTCAGGAGGTCGCCCTGGGGCACGGGATCCTCGGCCCCAGCCCCGCCGCTGCCTGCAAGGGGACGCCTGGAGGGGATCCTCGCGTGCACACGTGTGTGTGTGTGTGTGAGTGAGATTGTACACCGGGCACACACCCCAACCAGACGCACACCGGCACCACTGTGGCCTCCAGGTGCCCACCAGAGCTGGGTGCTGAACCTGCGGCCAGCACTCGGCCACAGGGCTGGGGGCACCGTCCAAGCTCCCATCCCCCACTCCCGAGACCCAGCCCAGCCCTGGGAGCACCCAGCCCGCGAGCTGCTGGAACTGCCACCCTCGCAGCACACACGTGTGCCTGACACACCCACCGGATGGCAGGCCGCCCGTGCAAGGCCACCATCAGAGGTTACAACCTCCCGCAGACACTGCATGAGCCCAGGGCCATACAGGGAGGACGCCCGGCCACCTCGAGCCAGGCTCCAGCTGCCGGGCGACAGGTGGCCCCAAGGCAGGGCCTGCACAGCCCCTGGGAGAGCAAGGACCTTCTGGAGGCAGACGCACCGTGGAGCAGCCAGCCTTGGCCTCGTGTGGGGACAGAGACGCAGCCCCGGACTTGGGAGCAAGCACGGCCTGGAGCACAGAGTGGCGACCCTGGACCCAGGAGTCGTGGGAAAGGCCCACACAAGGGAAAGGCCCTGGAGGAGGGTGGCATGAGCCCGTGGTGGACAGTGGGGTCCCGCCCCAGGCAGTCACGGGGACACGCAGGGGCCTCCTCTCGGACCAGCACTCTGGGACTTCCGGTGTTAGCGGAAATACGCAGGGAGGGACAGCTGGTGGGTGACGGAAGAGGGACACGGCCACCACAGCCTCCGACCGGCCCAGGCGGTGCAGGCACCTGCAGAGCTGAGCAGCTGAAGGTCCAGGCGGCAGAGCAGGCGTCCCATCCCGGGGAGACCTCTCGGCCCGCAGAGCCCGAGGCTGAGCCGTGCAGACCCGCCCCCTTCCCTGCACAGCACCCTGCACCGCACGGGGGCAGGGAGGGAAGGTCTCGAACTGCCCCCAGGGTGTCCTGCGGCCACGAAGAGACCCCGCGAGGGCGTGGACCTGGCTCCGGGACCCAGGAAGGGCTGCCCCCGCATGTCAGCGGTCCTCCTGTGTCTCCGGCCACAGCCCTGTGCGTGCCCTGAAACCACGGACACTTGCAAAATGTGGGCTGGTCAGTGAGAAGGGGCTCCACCTGGAGGGCTGGCTTGTCCTGCTCAGGACCACCCCCCAGGTGAGCCCCCTGAAGACTCAGGGGTCGGTCAGGCCTGCAGGGTGGGGTCTGGGCCCCTGCTACCCACCTACTCCCTCCGAGGGTCTGCACGCTGGGGGGGGGCCCTGCTCGGGACCGACGGGCCGGGTGGGGGCGATGAGGTGCGTGGACAGACGTGGTGACCGCAGGTTGCGCCGGCAGGAGGCCGCTCCCTGAGCCCCCCACGCTCCCGATGCGTTTCCCAACTTCCCGCATTCCAAACGGGCCGAAAGGGCTCCAGCCAGGTGCACGGTTTATGTCTTCAGCTTTCAAAAACATATTCGTCCACCTGATCAAAGATGCTG